CTCGATCACTAGCGAACCCTTCTACCTTATCTTTTGATTACTGTAATTTTGTTGAAGGCAGCAGCCGCTTCATGTACGTTCCTTTCTTAAGTTTCCTTCCCTGTCTTCACTTCAAAGCCAAGTGCCTGCCAGAAAACTGGCCAGTCAAATATAGTGCACTGCAGGTGAGAAAAGTCTGTTTCCCGACTGACCACCTAACCACCAGAAACCGGAAAAAAGCTTTCAGAAAGTCTACCTACTTGCGTCTGGCTTTTGTTTTCCGATCACTACAGATTCACTGCTGTGTATTCTGCACATGTACTGTCAAGATATTTCTAGCATCAAGATATATCAAGAAATCATGATATTCAGAGACAAAAAAAAACTACATTTGTACACACATCGAGCTCTAATTCAGGTCCAAGAATTTTGGAGAAAACCAAAGAAACTAAGGTTATTTAGCCATAACAAAAGCCTAAGGCCCGGTTCAGATGCCGTTTTTTCATGAGCCAAACCTAATTCGAATTAAGGCTGAACCAAATTATTTAGACCGGCTGAATTTATTCAGATGCCTATCTTAATTGCACTGTGAACTAAGTTCAAAAGACGAAAAATGCTCATTTCGGTCAAACTTTTGACAAAATAAGTTATAATAATTTATGCATTAGATTTGGCACATGAAAAGTTTGGCATCTGAATCAAAGTCATTCCAAAGTCGCTGCTAAGGCGAAATTCCCGGCTGGGCTAGGCAAATAGAACGGCTGAGCCATTCCTAATTGAAATAGGCATTCCTAATTGATTCAGACGCCCAAATTTTCATGTACTTAATTCATGATCAATGTATTAGGTTCGGCTCATGAAAAGATCGGCGTCTGAACGGGGCCTAAGGCTTTAACAGAAGTAAAAGAAAACCATTAGTAAACTGTATTTGAAATCAAATCCTGTCAGAAAACAGGAAAAATCTCTATTGTACAAGCTGACTCTAAGGTCACGTTTCACACTGTCATGTGCTATGAGTCATGATTGGCCTGTTGACACTGATTTCAAGTTGAACTATAATCACAAACTGCATAAGAAACTACCCAATCAGACACCTACATATGTCCTTGTGACTCTGTGGGATTTGAACACGCCTATTGTGCACTATTTCGCGCATACTCTACACAGGAGGTTCAGAGTGTCTATGACGCAGGCTACAGTCACCTAAAAGGAGCCGAAAGTAATGTGCCAGGGGCCAGCCGTTTTTGATTAGTAGGATTGATAACAATCCTTCTGTAATTTGAATTTCTCCATAAAACAGCACTTGCCCATCGGGCAAATTAAGAACAAACATCACTAGCCCGATGGCAAAATCCACTAGCCCCGGGCTATCGGACACGACTTTCTTTGTACGCTGATTTACCCCAACCCCAGATAAAGACAAATTTGGAGTTCCTTGTAAAACAACATGGAGATTCTACATAAAGTAGTGAGGTTTTGTCTTCCTTCTTCTCCTTCTCCTTCTCCCCCTATGCTTGATAATTTATATTTTTTGCGATTAATTCAGTTTGTTTTATTGTTCAACATATAAATTGTGTAAACTTTAATTTTCAACTGTGAACTAATTCCTTTGTGTCCTCCTGGCCCAAATGAGCCTATAAACAAACTCTGACTCCTGATAAAACTAAAACTATTTTAACCTTCCAGACAGAAAATAGCAAAGCACCGTGCTTTTAAAGAATAGATTGCATATTTTTAGACCCCCTCCCCCACCCCCCTGTAAGACTCAGACAAACATTTGCTTTTCTAAGTAAAACGACGTTAAAAGCTGTTTCTGTACGACAAATTGTACATAGTATGAAATATTACTGATGAGGGGAAATGCAATGTTTCTTCTCAATATATTCTGAAAAATTAGACATTCTGTTAATTATTAATTACTGTAAATACTCTATTAAGCCTCCCAAGGGTTTATTTCTTTCAATCAGGTTTAGGGGCAGGGGGGGGGGGGTAATAGAGAAGAGAGGCAAGTTTAATTTAGTGGTGAAACGGGGTGCCGCACTGCTTTTCTAAACAAAGAGAAGATGGCATTATTATTCTTCATAAAGAACAGACAGTTCACAAAAAAAAAAAAGGTCATGCAGCTGAAGAACAACAACTAATTTGAACTTTCAGCACTTGAATCAAACATCAGTCTACATGAAGTGTTACAGTTGTGATGAATTAATACAGTTTATCATTTTTTACTTTGGTTGTGAAGAATAAGGGGGAAGGGGAGAGGAGGGTGCTTAAAAGGGTCTTCATATATATGATGGGGGGGTTAGTAGAGGATTAACAATATCTATAAAATGTTTAAGCTTATTTGAAAGTATTTTCATTTGGTTTTGAAACGCTATGGAAAGACATTGGTCACTAGATGATGTGAGTAGATTAATGGTTGTTTCCATACAAAATACATGTATATAGTTGACAATAAAACCAGGAACATATACATTAGTGCACATCATTGACCAGGGAAAGAGCTCAAAAGAAGAGTTCCTCAACAAACCTACATGTATGAAACAAATCTTACAAAAGGCTAATCATTTTGTTGGAGTGAGTCTAGCATCAAAAGTAAAGGTCTTGGAGAAGAAATAAAAAAATGGTTTTTCTATTCTTTTTTTTTTTTAATTTGGTTTTTGATTTTTCTATTCTTGCTTTCATGGACTTTAACTGAGGGTTCAACAGATTCAAAAATCAGTAATTTAAAAACTTAAGACCAAGTTTTGTCTAATATCAAGTGTATCACTCGACATGGCTTCATGACCCAGACAAAAGATTTTAAAACTCTAAAACTGACATTGCAGTGGCTTCAGTGTACTTCCATTAGCTGATGTAACATTCCTGAAAACTAAAGTCTGCACAAAGGCCATAGATGGTTTATTGATGATTCTATAATAAAAACTATTTTAGAACCATATGCCTCTCTCACTGGACATTCACTTTCCGTTAAACAAATTTTATTAATTACAGATTGTAATTTCCAATCATTGTAAATTTATTCCATTCATACCCTTATTAATTGGACTTTTGATTCTTGATGTACATGAATGTGAATAAATTTCTCAATTGGTATTTAAAACAACACCAATCAATCACCTGCCTTGCACTTATGTCCGCTTCAAGTAAGGGTTTTATTAATCTTTGAATTCTATTCAAAACAACATACAAAACAATCAAATACCTGGCTTGCAATAATTCAGTAGTTTATAGTTATTAAAGTTAATTAAGGTAAACTAAGACTTGGTTACAATTGTATATTATTATTGATATTTGTTCCAGAGTAAAACTTGACTGGCTTTTGTTTATGCTATTTAACTGTCTTTATGATAACAAAAAATGATTGCATTTAATAATATTATTAATCTAATAATAATAATAATAATAATAAGAATTGTATGTATATCTTTGGAATTGTACCTCTATTCTTCTACATCTTGAACTTTCATCAGTTAATTGATATTGAACGTTTGTGCCATGTAATTAGATATATATATATATAGCCCCCCTAGGCCTGCCCTCTGCATCCCATTGCAACCTCTTTTGTGTGCTATCCATTAAATCTTCATCATACGTCATGGATTACAGGATATCATAAAATTACTTTTTAAAAATACAGAAAACCTAGTAAATAAATATCATTTTTGCCTGGTAGATAAGAGAAAGAGACAGAAACAAAATGTTTGCCTGGGTATTTGTCAGCTATGAAAGATGCTGCACTGATTCTTTGTCCTGCGCAGATTGTGCAATTTGCATTTTGCATGACTTTCCTTGATTGACAAGTGTGTTCTCCTTATTTTTATCCTCCTTTCTTTCCATTGCAGAAGGAAAAGAGCTACTTAGTCTTGAATATCATTATACAATCTGTTCTCCCCTGACCGCCTGCCTAAGGAAGACCTGTTACATGGGTTTTAGAGACAGCTACGTTCTAATAGACTACTGAGGTTGATAACAGAAATTCAATACACTGTAGACACTCCCAGAGATTGCACAATGTCATTTGAAAAAAGCTTAGTTTAAAAGTGTGATGTACTGTGTGGACTCTGGCATGGCTCATTAAAGTGCAAAAGAAATGACCAAATAACTAATTCCTATTCAAGTCATGCATTTGTTGGTCAAAACCTGCTACTAACCCCCCTCACTTCCCCCAGCTTCTTGACCAATTTTAATTAAGTTTGCCCAATTGACCTCCCTGGCATAAGCAGCTGAAATGGTTTTGTTTTCAATTCAATTCGATTTACTTTCAGTATATTTTTCACTGCTTTTCATTGTCTAGTTTTAGCTTTCTTTTGCAGCAGTAAAAACCCAGACTTAATACATTGGGCAGTTGTTTCTAAACCAGACAACACATAGCCCACGTGTCATATCAAGTATTTGAAAGGGAGATAGAAAATAGAGAGCAGAAAATAGAGAATAGAAACAAGGCACAGTTTTTTGTTGTGTCCCTTTCACTGTTCACTGAGACTGTGCTGAGGCTCCTTTCTTGCTGTATCACGGGGTTGCATTACATGTCAGTTTATTTAGCCAAGGCTCAACAAGGACTGAAAGTTCTTATTAGCTTGTACATGTATCTTTGCTTCTGTCTTCCCCCCTTTTTTTGGGGATTAAAGTGGACTACGAATGTAATTTTAAAATCTTCCTTTAAACCATTGTACTTGTTGGTTAGACTTAATATTGATGCAAAGTATCATCTCTAGATACAGCATGCGATTTCAACTGTAACTTAGCTGTAGTTCTTGTACTTTTAAGTTTAGGACGGTTACTCCGCGTACTGTATAATAATTCCTGTACACTGATTGTTTTACCAAGGTGATATAAAATGATCCTACAGTTATGTAGACCTTAGCCCGAGTGAGTAATGTTCTTAATACATGTATGCTCATAATTTTTTTCTTCCACATTCTTAGAGAAATGTTGTGATAAAAATGAGTGTATAGTGTAAGGCTAAATTGTGTTATACTTTTTCGTTTTATGTCTCCAGTGCAATTTAGCCGAAAACTGACATGTCAGAAGCTTCAAAGAAGGCGTGTGGCTGTAATTTAAAGGACCGTGATGCTGGCCCACCACAGCTGGCTGTTGGTCTTCCATCCAGAAAAGATGTTACAACAACATCGAAACAGCCTGATCTACCCGTTGATGTTCTACTTTTAACCGTTAAGGACTGTGAGTTCTTATCCTTAGCCTCCAGCACAAGGACGCAAGGTTATATGGGTAGCTTTAGATCCGTCAGTTGTAATTCGGTCATAAAGGTGCGGCTAACAGTACCATAAGTATAGGTAATAGCATGACTTGTAGTGATATTTGGCATAAATACCACAAGTGATATTTCAAAATTGTTATACGTAATTTCACCAGCCGTTAGGCGAGTGAAATTTGAGACAATTTTGAACTATCACGAGTGGTTTTTATGCCAAATATCACGTACAAATCATGCTATTATTTGTTTATTCTATCACCCGCAAAAGGTTTGTAATTTCCACCTGTAGGTATTTCAAAGTAAGCTGAAACACAACTGCTCTAAGCCAATCAAATTGCAGAAATTTCTCATGTAGTAGTATAAAATACTTTAAAACGTCACAAACGTTTACCTTCATGGCTGGGATTGGTAACGAAATATTTATGAAATACACTGGAGTCCAGTTTCGAGTTCCCTATGACCGCTGAATGAAAGAAGTGAAGAAGCATTTTTTACAGGGTTAGCCTCCACCAAAAGTAAATATATTCTCAAATCCAACGAGAGGGAAGACCTGTTTGTTACTCTGTTTATTGTGTATTCTTAAATTTCAAACACTTACGTGCCAAAATTTGTGAATATTTTATTTTGAATGTATCGTTAATGTTTGTATTCAGCGGTAATTTTGAATTCGAAAAAGGACTATTAGCCGTACTGCTTTGCAGTCTCAGTAGGTAGGCTTTTTGACATCTGTTTTGGGGTACATGTATAACTCAAAGTTTTTGAAAGAGTAGAGCAGGTGCCAGTGTTTTTTTCTGGGAGGACGCGCGCGCCCGCGGGAGAAAAGGAAAGGAGGCCTCCTCTCCCCTTCGCGTGTTTTTCTCGAGCGCTTTAGAAAGCGGACCAAAAAAACTATTACCTTCATGGTAATTACTTTGAGTGTTAGTGGTCCGATGTATTAGATCATAATGTGACAATAGGTGTTTAAAGAATTCACTGCGATAACTGGTGCACTCTTGACGCCATTTTCGCGCAAAACTTATAGAGTAAAATTGAACAAGAAGCAAACATGTAATCGCTAAAATAAATGGGAACATATGTCTGTGGTGTTTAAGTCTGATCTGGGATTGTCTGAATACGTACGACACAAACAGCTTTCGATGAAGATGCAGAACTTTACAGCTGCAAACTTAAGTTAACGGAACGCCAACGGAATGTGAAATGAACCTTTTTCGCTTATAACAATGAAGTGATTGGATAAAACATGTTCATTGTAAGAAAGGTTGCTGTCAGCAAATCAAAAGAAACGGCGTGAAAATCATAATCTGTCGTTGGGATCTGGCATCCCTTGATTCGGTGTTTTCTTGTCTGTTTTTCTTGTGGTGAGTTTACTTCCAGTTTGTAATCAGAAAGACATTTTTGTGAAAGTTTAACCGTAATTATTGGAAAGAAAGATTTACACATGCGTCTATGCGCAAGGCAATTAATTTTTTAGTTTCTTTTATCCAGAAGACTTGATTTCTTAAAAAGAATACTTCCTAATTCTATTCCATATTTCAGGTGTTTTCACAGCTGCATTTGATTCTCAACTCGAGTGGCTCATTGTTAAAGGGATAGCTGATTTTGCGGATGGTGAGCAAGCGACTGCAGAAAGTTGGGAGGCCTGTGCTAGTATGATGGCAGCATCTCTTGTCTCACACATTTTAAGTGATCCTTGTGTTTTCCGCACTTGGCCTCATTACTCAGGTATAAATTCTTGTCAGTTTGGTGTGTGATGATTAGGCGCAGGGGTAACAGGCCGAATTTGCCGTCAGTAAAAGAAGTCTTGAATGTGCGGTATTGAGTGAGACAGTGCGGAAGCTCAGATCCGAGATCAAAAGGCTTGTCAATATTTTTGTCCGTTTTGAGATTCCGTCTTCATTGCCAAGCGGCGTGAAATTAAGAGTTAGTTTAAGAAATTGAAATTCAGGGCTTAATTCAGGTTCTGGTTGTGCACTTTTTCACACGGACTTTACAATTCCGAAAAGTAAAACTCTGTCAAAAAACTACATACACTCTTCTCTCGTTCAAGATCAAAAACTAAGCGATAAGGGTATTTTAAGGCTCTATTGTCTTTCACACGCGTGTCACTCAAAAATGTCAGTTTTCAGATGCTTACGTGACTTATCAGTTTAAATAGTAAGACGATCGACGCTAAATAGGTTCGAGGTTCACTTCAGATTTCAAGGTCCTACAAAACTAGTTCAAATTCAAAAAGTTCCGTAATGTCACGCACGAATTCTGTCACAGTTAGAAAGAAGCACTTGAGAGGATTGGGGTCGTTACCTCAACTTTTAGACGCTCAACTTTAAGTCTAGCACTTTCAGTTGAGATTATACATTCTTTCCTTAGCTATACATTGCATATCGACTAAGAGTAAGACAAAAATCGCTAATGATGTCTTTGGCTGATTCTTTCAGTGGACGGTCTCTTAGAGGCTGAGCACGATAGTGCGAGGAAGCGGAAGCTAGCTGAGAACCATGCAGGTAATAAATAAACATTCAATTTTTAAAATGTTCTTCTTTATTTAAAGCTGACCTATTCCACTCTTTACTTCACTTTGATTTTAATGAGTCGCCTCACCAATGCAATCCGGGAAGTCTTTTGCTCGTGGATTTCGGAATTTTGGGCTTTGGATTCTGGAATTTAACTCTTGGATTCCGGAACTCAGCCCCAGGAATCCGTAATCCCGCAGCAATTGGAATCCGTAATCCAAGTTCAACTGACAAGGAATCCGGAATCCAGTATGTGGAGTCCAGAATTCACAGCGTGAATCCAGGATCAAAGACTTTCTTGGATTACCTTATATGGGGCGAAATGAGCAAAACATTCATCATGAGACGCGTACAGCGCCGCTTATGCGCCTGACAGAGTTGACTTTAAGTCAGTTTATTCTTGTGTACGTAATCACAGTCTATTAAAAGAAGGAAATGTGCTAGTAAATCCACCCAACTCAAACGCAAATATGCTGTTGTCGGCCTACAGCTATTTTGATTAACGTTGCAGCAGGAAAGTCTTTGCGATGAGATCGCAAATAATATGGGTAATTCCATATAAAATTTACCAAATTCTGAAGAAGGTAAAATTTTGTGACATTTCATATATACTATTCTGTGGCACTGTCAGCCGCGAATGGATGACCAAATTGCAAAGAATTTACATGCAGCTACCCACATGACCTTGCAGTCTTGTGGAGTACGCATGAGACCTTGACGTCCGACAAGGTTAACTGAAATAGATGTACATGATGTGGCCCGCGTCTCAACCAACGATTTTCTTCAACAGGTGCTTCTTGCGATGACCAGATCTCACGACAAACCAAAAGGGGAATGTATTCTGACCACTTATCTCAGCAAAACGAATCCATAACCCAGCAGCATCTTGCAGGTATCTTTCTCTAACAACGCACTGAAATTGTGACACCTTTTGAAGAAACCAACAGTAATACCCCTAAAATGCTCAAAATTGTGCGGTATGGTAAAGTTTTCTGCTTTAATAAAGCTTCTTTTTATTTAGGAAAAACCATAGACGCAAAACAGCTTTGATTTGCGTTTGTCATGAATACATTCACTCATCAAACAGAGAGTGAAAACGGAGAGAGTGACTAATTTTCGTGTGGGGCTCGCGTGCGACACACGGCGTCCACGGCGCTCTGTGTCTAACGAGCAGCGTTTAATTTTCTCAAAGAAAAATACTGTTTGGCAGTCTAGGAAAAAAATGAGCCTACCACAAGCCATTTTAACATAGAAAATAGACCTTCCCACGTATTTTAACAGTTTTGATTTGGACCATTTGGCTGGAAAGAAGACCTTAAAATCACTTGCTGAGTTAAAGAGTGATTTGGTTAAAACTAACCAACATATAGCTCCAAAAAGACGCGAAATTTTAAAGACGTTTCTATGGAAGAGAGCAAGTTCATGCCCCCCACCATACAAAAGTCTGTATAAAATTTCGGGACTTTGTCACGGTTGAAGAATATCTTCGCTCGCTCTGAACGTATCGCCTTTAAACAAGGTAAGTTTTAAGGCGCTCTCCAGTAGTGTAGTGTCGATGGATAATTGCTTACTTAAAATCTTGGAAGGGTCTATTAAGTGCAAATTACATAAACGACGTAAAGACAAACCTGTGTTGGGTTTTGTAAATATTCCTTCACGTAATTCATGCTTCTTCTTAATTAAGATCGAGAATCATTATAGTTATCCTAAAAAGGTCGTCTATATCGATCTTCAGCTCGTTCGTTTTGCAACGTTACAAAAGCATAAAAGCGTATCGTAGACGATATACAGAGCGTGGACGGCTTGTATGACAGTATAATAAAACCAAATCGATCTTATTTTTTGGATCTTGTATTTCTCAGGGGTGCCAGCTATCATAGAAAGGATTCGTCAGCTTTACAAACGTCGTGAAGGACGGCTGGTACCATTTCCATGGTGTGATGACCTTAATTTCAACTTGAATGAGATTTTTACCCGACTGAAGATCGTGAACAAAGAAAAAACGCGGGGAACATTGACGGATGATGAAATCACCAACATGACTGCTATCTTTAGACCCCACCCTGATTGCCCGAAACCACGGATTCTTTTGATCGAAGGAGAACCTGGCATGGGAAAAACCACCTACTCACAAAAACTGGCGTATGACTGGGCAAATAAACAAGATGAATGGGACTCGTCTTTTCCATCAATTGAAGTGCTGCTCTTGCTTAGATGCAACGATGTTAAATCTGGCATCTGGGAAGCTATTGACGACCAACTTCTTCCTGATGATATTGACGAACAGGCTAAGGAGAATTTTTTCAAATACATCCGAGAAAATCAGGCCAAATGTTTGCTACTGCTTGATGGATTAGATGAGGCAGATTCCTTTAAACTGGACATGTACTACTCGCTCGTTCAGAGTAAACTCCTCCCAGCTTGTCACATTGTCATTACATCTCGCCATGAGGTTGGAAAGAAAGTAAGGCCATACTGTGACGCCCTGTGGGAGATTGTAGGATTTACTAAAGAGGATGCGAAAAGTTTTATCAGAAAGTATTTTAAAGGCAAGGAACACTGGGCTGAGAAGCTGATTGAACGATTGACACTTCCAGAGTATGATGATGATCCACTTAACACGCTAGGCGAGTTAACAAAAAATCCACTCAATACAGCTTTACTCTGTTGTCTTTTCGAGGATTTCGAAGGTGTTCTTCCAACAAGCAGGACTGAGTTGTACGTTGAAATAGTTGCCTTTGTTTTGAGAAGATACGAAGTAAAAAACGGACTTAAAAGCAGCGGTGAGGACTTGATTTCAGGTTATAAGAAAGAACTTTTGCTTTTGGGCAGGTTCGCGTTAGAATCCCTGCTTAAAGGAGAGTTGTACTTTGAAAAGAAGGAAGATACCGTCAAGCTTATCAATTTTGGATTCTTGTCTTTTCAACAAGGTACCGCCAAGCGCAAACCTTCCGCGCGCTGTGCATTTTTACACAAAAGCTTTCAGGAGTTTTTTGCTGGCCTTTTCCTTGCGTTTCAGGTTATCAGCAAAGAAAGAGACTTAACCTCAGTTGTAGATGATAATAGATACTTGGATAAACTGAGACAGGTCTTTTTGTTCATGAGTGGCATTATAGCCTCACGGAGTGAGGAAACTGCAATATCGTTCTTTATTGTTATTGCTAAAAAAATCAACTCTGCCGAAGACCGTAAATCATATATGAGTTTAGCTTGTGAGTGTTTGTTGGAATGTTCAAGTGTCCAGGACAGCCTTCAAAATTGCTTAGTTTGTAGTTTAGGTAAGCACCTTGACATGTCGTCCCTGACTGAAGTAAATTTTAGCGACACAGGGATACACGATGCTGGTGCTGCTGCGATTTCCATGGCCCTCACAGTAAACTCCTCCCTGACTAGTTTGAATTTAGGTGGTAACAGTATTGGCGACGCCGGTGCTTCTTTTCTTTCTCAAGCCCTAACAACAAACACCTCCCTTACTATCTTGTATTTAGATGGTAACAGTACTGGCGACGCCGGTGCTTCTTCTCTTTCTCAAGCCCTAACAACAAACACCTCCCTTACTATCTTGTATTTAGGTGGTAACAGTATTGGCGACGCCGGTGCTTCTTCTCTTTCTCAAGCCCTAACAACAAACACCTCCCTGACTATCTTGTATTTAGGTGGTAACAGTATTGGCGACGCCGGCGCTTCTTCTCTTTCTCAAGCCCTAACAACAAACACCTCCCTTACTAGCTTGTATTTAGGTGGTAACAGTATTGGCGACGCCGGTGCTTCTTCTCTTTCTCAAGCCCTAACAACAAACACCTCCCTTACTAGCTTGTATTTAGGTGGTAACAGTATTGGCGACGCCGGCGCTTCTTCTCTTTCTCAAGCCCTAACAACAAACACCTCCCTGACTATCTTGTATTTAGGTGGTAACAGTATTGGCGACGCCGGTGCTTCTTCTCTTTCTCAAGCCCTAACAACAAACACCTCCCTTACTAGCTTGTATTTAGGTGGTAACAGAATTGGCGACGCCGGTGCTTCTTCTCTTTCTCAAGCCCTAACAACAAACACCTCCCTTACTATCTTGTATTTAGATGATAACAGTATTGGCGACGCCGGTGCTTCTTCTCTTTCTCAAGCCCTCACAACAAACACCTCCCTTACTATCTTGTATTTAGGTGGTAACAGTATTGGCGACGCCGGTGCTTCTTCTCTTTCTCAAGCCCTCTCAACAAACACCTCCCTTACTAGCTTGTATTTAGATGGTAACAGTATTGGCGACGCCGGTGCTTCTTCTCTTTCTCAAGCCCTAACAACAAACACCTCCCTTACTAGCTTGTATTTAGATGGTAACAGAATTGGCGACGCCGGTGCTTCTTCTCTTTCTCAAGCCCTAACAACAAACACCTCCCTGACTTTCTTGTATTTACGTTATAACAGTATTGGCGAGGCCGGTGCTTCTTCTCTTTCTCAAGCTCTAACAACAAACACCTCCCTTACTATCTTGTATTTAGATGGTAACAGTATTGGCGACGCCGGTGCTTCTTTTCTTTCTCAAGCCCTAACAACAAACACCTCCCTTACTAGCTTGTATTTAAGTGTTAACAGTATTGGCGACGCCGGTGCTTCTCTCTTTCTCAAGCCCTCACAGTAAACTCCTCCCTGACTAGTTTGGATTTAGGCGATAACCGTATTGGCGAGGCCGGTGCTTCTTCTCTTTCTCAAGCCCTCACAGCAAACCCCTCCCTCAAGAATCTCTTCTTTAGAGAGACAGCAGTATAGGCGACGCTGGGGTTTGTCTTCCCAAGGCCCTCACAGCAAACTCCTTTCTTATATGATGTGTACTGTTTCGCCCGGTGACGATGGGGAACGTGTACTTTGAGATAAGGCTTTCAAATAAGCGAAATCCCGAGAAACGTGCCCGGAGCAAAGCGACCGTGTGATAAGCCGTACTTGTTAACCAGATCGTTTCGTGTCGTTTGAATGTAGTCGCCTCGGTCCTACTTACTTAAAACGATACGAAACGGTTCAGTATAAATGTAATTTAGTACGTTTTCGATGAGTTCTAAACTATGTTATTGTTAGTTTCAGTAACGGTATAATCACGTTGTATAATAGCATTTCGAGTTGCTGTTTATCAGTAGCTCAATAAAAGCTACTGCTGTATGTTGAGACGTGTCCGTTCCACGAAGTTAAGCCCTGTCGGACGCGGTTAGTTTTGGATGGATGACCAACGCGGAATCCCCTCTGACCTCTTTTTCAGTGCTGATGTTTTGCGATTGTTTGATTTCCTTTTTCTTAACTTTCAGAACTTCCATAACTTTCAAAATAACTGTCAAAAATTGTTTTCAATCGATACATCTATCAGAAATGCAAACAGCTTTTATTGATGGGCATTTTATTTTATCGAGGAGTCTGCGCGAGGGTCTTTGTTACCGCAGAAGCTCAGATGGGCTTCTGATTACCATAAACAATATATATTTTATTTACATAAATTCAACTTTAAAAAGGCAGGTGCTAAAATTAATTTATTAAAAGAAAAAATAATAATTTAAGAATATAATCCTCGTTACGCTGTCCACCATGCGCCGTTTTAATAATAACAACCGATTTTTGATTTTAAGATTTTTTCTTCTTCACTGTGATTCTTATTTGTGTATAAGGAAAACGTTTTTTAATGATATAATCTCGAAATATCCCATCTTTTATACTCTGAATGAACAAGATAAAATATTATTCCTTTTTAATAACGTAGATAATTTCATTTGCAAAAAATCGGTTATTTTGTTTTCGAATCTTTCAAGAAAACGAAACAAGAGTTAGGATGTTGTTTGTAACTGATTATTAATTATTATATATTTTGTAATTCATTGCTGTATTTTTCTATTATCATCCTTTATTTTTCTTCTATGCAATTCAATCTATGTAAATGGCAATTCAAAAAAAGTTGTTGTTGTTGTTTATTAATTAATAAATAGGTAATATTTTCGTACGAATTCCTTGTCGTTATTATTTCTAGATTTGATATCCATCTTCTATTTTCACTAGACTTAATTGTACCAAGGGGATGAGAGGAAAAAAAACCTTCGTCTCTGGCCTGATCCTTGAGGTGAATTGGGAGGAGGCTCAACCCAGAGACCCACCACCTCAGTTTACCCTTTAATATACCATTTTTGACAGAGAAGGTGGGCATTTTATATACCTTCCATTAAAAACTGGTACCTCTTACACATACCCTCCAACAGAAGTCTTCTTATCATTGCGGGCGAGCAAAAGCGACTCGCAAACGTATTCTAGGTGGGGTGGTCAGCAGCAATTTATAAACTGTATAGCGAGGTTTTCCCACAATCTGTCCACATTCTTGGGATGCCTTTGTTCTACGTACTGATATGCATGGGATGTGGCCACGAATGCCCTAGTGTTCCATCTGATATCACTGTAATAGCGTGAATGCACATGCAAGTGATGCAACAATATTTGATCGAATCGAAAACACACGTAATTCAGATACACACGCACTGTTTCACGCACTGTGCTAAATGCGAGACTTTTCCACTCGCCCTGCCGGCAGGATATCTGTTTACCAAGGAAAGAAATTAGCTGATCTCAGCTTAATGCGAAACGGAGTCTTCGGTAAGATACGAGTGTTGGCAAAGTCTAGAAATCAATGTAAATATTTCAAAGTTAATTCAGGTTAAACTTCAGCGTCTGGTTTTTATATTTTTATACGTTTCCAAGTATGTTCCGTCACTTGCCATCTGCAAGCATCAATAAGCTTAGCTTTAAACTAAGCTTTCTATTTCATGTCAACGACCTTTGGCGATTGAACACGGATTGAATACCCGATTAAATAATAAGACTTCGTGCAGTCATGACTGTCTTTACCTTTCAACGTTATGTCAGGCATTACTTTATTCTTGTATTTCCTGCTTTTTGTGCAAAATACGCGGTAGATATCCGTGATATCTGGCTGCCTGCAAAGGGCAAATTCCTTAGTTATAAACTAAGAGCTCTACTTATTTTGTCGAGCAATAATTGATCGCTTGTTATAGCCCTGGTGTAGAATAAACATTGTCTTTTTCCTGTTTTGCACTCGATGCCCTCGACAGTTCTTGAGTAAGGTTTCATTCGTCGAGCCTCAGAGAAACTAACTTTCTATGACTTTCCTTGTAGATCTCCTCATATGGGGCGTAAGAGGAGGGTGGACACACAAGAACGCGCGCGTCCTCTTACTTCGCGGTCGGTTCTTGTTTGGTTTCCAAAATCTTTTGGGCGCCTGCTACGCAAACTTGCGCATGTATAGGAGCATGCGGCAAATACATCGAGAGATTATTTTAGGAAAGAAGAGAGTGGAAACAGAAACGAGAGAGAGCACGCTGAGGCTTTTGTGATGAGGTGCAAAGCAGTAGCAGTTGACAGAGAGCCAGATAGGTGTGGAAACTCCGTGTGGAGGCCTTAAGTGCCATGTGACACAAGGGGTGACCACCCTTGAAGTAGAAATCATCCATTATACTGAACTTTGATGGACAATTCGGCTCGCGCAGCCAAGGTAAAAATACCTCAGTCGGTAAAAAAAAATTGTGCCAAATATTATAACCAAACATATTTGTCAAAAAGCATTATAGTTTGAGCTAATCGGTATAATAGTATTATCCTTGAGGTTGTATAAACGTGACTTGATAAATGAGTCTGAAAGCGTAGTGAAAAGAGGTTGAAAATGAGAGGCTGAACCAGGAAGGCAGATTTATTGATAACGGTCGCATTGTGAAAATAGGTGATCCTTACCAAACGGAAATTAATATATAAATTATGCTTGTGATCTATTGTAATTAAATGCTTTTCATATAACTTCTTATCATTTAGTTTAAGGAAGCGGGACAAGCAAATCAACCGCGAAGAAAGTAGAAATTACAGGTCATTTGTTTCTCTTTTTTTTTCTCAAAAGTTCTGTTGAAAAAGGCTAAATATACATTCTTTAGAAACCTAGTAAAATACATTCCTTGCGGTTTAAGGATCAAATGTCATATTTGTTAGTCGGACATTTTTGTTCAATATAGAATCGACAGGGACTACCTTTAGAGCTTCTCCTGTAGCTACATGCTTTGGGGCAAATGATTGAAAACTTAGAAGACTGCCGGTCTTGACTGAATTGTTATAACACAATGACTTGGTTAAGTGTGTTTTCTGATTTATGAAGGATGCACTTTGCTATTGATTTCGATTGCAAGCAACTCTAATTTGAATATTTCTTACTACCTATCATGTAGAAATGCAGAGGATTTAGACTGTAAGTACCATCCGCGTGATACATTTTTAACTTCATAAACACACGATGTATTAACTGCCTTAGCGATTTCTTTTTGAGTGCTTTATCCTCTAGTTCATTCGCTTAGCTGTCGCACAAGGTTAAAACTAGTTTACTTCTCACAAACGACCTGGTATTTACACTGACAGTACAATATTATAACAGATGAATGGCTTTACTTGTTTATAATCACATTCAGCAGCCCTGAGTTAAAGAGGGTAATCACAACTAGCCAGGCTGTGAGAAGGCTTCATTAGCATTCAAGGGTTCACTATTGGGATTTGTAACGGACTGGTTGATTGAGTATGGATGAAGTATTGAGAGGTTTACTGTGCAGTGGTTTACGGATCCGCCCAAACCATCCAGGTGGTATCACAAATATATAGAGAAAGAATAATAGCGGAGGTGTCAGCCAATCAGGAAAGAGTAACGTCATCAAACCAGATCAAACTGATTGGATAGTTTCTTTTTCTTTGTGTGAGAATTGTGTATTCAGTAATTTGCAATTGAATGAGATGAAATGGGGGACTACGAAGTATCAAGGAATACAAAATAACCTTCTTGCTAGCCTGCAGCTTAATTGAAACAATTTAAGATGTTCTCGCACTGGAAAAGATACGTTCTGATAAAGACTCATTCCTCATATAGGATCGCTACGATCGATGAGAAAAAAAGTTCAACGATCGTTACGATTAACTGCAAAACAACTTTTCAACGAATCGTATAGCGGTCGCTGAAGTAGACTTAAGTCTTGAAAGTTTAACAAGCTGGTTTCCATATCAATACCCGCGGACACCGACTATAGTTCAGATTACTAGACTCTTGTGAGCTGTTTGTTCGGCGATCAACGATCACAATGAAACTTAGGCTTTCCTTTAGCAGATTTCGTAAGACAACTGATCTGATTGTTCAGTTAAAGGCGTTGTTTATAATTTAAGTTTTTTCTTTTTTTCAATCCTGCTTTAGGAAAGCAAATTGCGTAAATAAATGGATTGATGAAATTCCTGGAAAAATCTGTAGTGTTTGAGAATTTTTGTTTTCGGGGTAAACACAAACCAATCGATTTAAGTCCCTCTGATCCTAAACTGTACAACAACTTGGTGAGAGAAAGAAGTTTTAAATACTACCGACTCAGCACTCGTCAAATCATTTATTTGCATATGCATTGCCTCGGTTTACAGGTCTCCGTTAATAATGTTTCAAAAGTTCTTAAAAGCAAACACAACTCCCTACAGTGCCTTTTGTTTCAACAAACAATAACCATGCAAATCAGCAAACAACCATAAGCCCCCCCTCCCTCTCTTTTAAGCCCCCCTCTCTATTTGGCCCTCCTCAAAAGTGCTTGAAAA